GGATTGGAGTGTTCTCCCAAACATCTTCAAACACGCCTTCAGACATGCCGATGACTATGATAATGCCTTCCAACAATTGCATTGTCTTTGCCAAGGGCCATCTGAGTTGGTGATGCAATTTGGTGTTCGTTTTTTAAGCCTTTTGCTTCATGCAGAGGCAAATATATCAAAGCAGATCAAGCTAGAAATGTTGTGGCCAGCACTTCGTCAAAATCTTGTCGGACTTGTGCATGCATTTGTTCTTGCCACCTTTGATAATGCTCTTCGCTTGGCACAACGCTATGAGATGTCACCTCTTCCACTTCTCGTTGCACGTCCTTCAACTCCACTTCCTATGGGTGATAGTCCTATTCCAATAGAGGTTGATGCTGTTGCTACTCGAGTCCAAGGACAAAGGCGAGGACGTGGTCGTGGCCGTGATGTTCGCTGCTAAGCGTGTGATGAAGTTGGTCATACTTACCGGCGTTGTTGGCATTTTCTGGATTGGTAACCTCCATTTCCTAGGTGGAGACTTTGGCGTCAACAACGTCCCATTGGTGCTACTGCAGTGGACGGTTTGGACACCGAGATGCATTCGGGAAACGAAGAGTCACACAAGTAACGAAGGGACCTTGTGCGAATAAGTCAGTAACCCCTCCATCTTTCTTTTGGGAGTATCATCAAGGGGTTCACTCGGCACCAGTTCATCCAGTGTTTACTTTCCAATCTTGTTTTTATAATAAAAGATCTTCTATTATTCTCTCCGTGTTGGTTGATACAGGTTCAAGTTTATCTTCTATTGCTTGACCTGTTGTCACATGTTGTCATCTACACTTGCATCATGCGGCAGAATCAGTTTTCATTCTTTATGGCAACAGCTGTACACATGCATGTGCACGGGATGAGGTAGATTTGGTTGTGTGTATGGGCGATCTTGAGCTTGAGTTGCAGTCATTGTAGGTGGTGTTGAGTCAAACTTTTAACTTCATTCTTGGTATGGATTGGTTGCAGTGCAATCATGTCAAGTGTGACTTTGAGGCTTCTCCCCCTTGTCTCATACTTCCTTATGTTTCATCCATTCCTTTTACTTCTGTACCTCTTCGTCCCTTTATTTTTACCTCTACTTCCATTACTTTTGTTCCCCCACTATTTCCTCCTATGTTTCCATTTTGTTCTACTCTTCCCTTTTCCGATCCCTCTGACAATCTTTGTGTTGTAGTGGTTGACTGGCTCATGAAAGAGTATTTTGATCTCTTTGAATTTAACCTATCGTCTGGGGCCAAGATTGCCACACGTCATCTGATTCCAACCGGGGATGCTCAGCCAATCAAAGTTTTGGTTTGTCGTCGGTCACCCAAAAAGATCAAAATTTTACGTGCAAACGTCAAAGAGATGTTGGAGAAGGGTGTTATTTGGAAGTCGCAGAGTCTTTGGGCATGTGAACCTCATCTTGTGATAAAGCCTAATGGGAGTATTCATTTTTGCATTGACTATCTTTCGTTAAATGAAGTGACGATCCCAGATATATACCCTCTTCCTCACACAGCTAATTTTTTGGATCATCTGGGGTGAAGTCATTGGTTCACCAAGTTAAATCTTATTTCTGGGTACTGGCAAATATTGATGGCCGAAGAAGATATTCCTAAGACTGCTTTTCGTACACCATTTGGTTTGTACGAGTTCTTGGTGATGCTGTTTGGTTTAAACAATGCTCCAGCAACTTTCTAATGGATAATGGACGAAGTTCTTTGCGATATGCCAGAGGTGATTGCTGACTTCATTGATGATGTTTTGATTCACTCGGAGGGGATGTGGGAGGAGCACATTTATGATGTTTGTAAAGTGTTGGATCGGCTACGTGACATTGGTTTAAAGCTAAAGTGGTCAAAGTGTGTGTTTGGGTCCAAGGACACAACTTATCTTGGGTACATATTTATGATGTTTGTAAAGTGTTGGATCGGCTACGTGACGTTGGTTTAAAGCTGAAGCGGTCAAAGTGCGTGTTTGGGTCCAAGGACACAACTTATCTTGGGTACCGTATTTCACGTGAAGGTTTGCAAGTTGATCCTGACAAACTTGTGGCTGTTCTAAAGTTCCTTACTCCGAAGTGTGTGAATGCTCTGTAGCGCTTCTTGGGCAAAGTGCAATATCTCGGTCGTGTAAGCTCCTGAGTTTAGACTTCCCAGGAAGTCACCCAGCCCAATACTATTCAAACCCAAGGGCACTTAACCCCAAGTATCCCAAGACCCTTAACCGATTGGAAAAGGGGGTGCATTCTTTAGATCGTCTCTTGAGTCGTTCCCTTTGGTTGCTTACAGGTCGTTTGTGGATTATCTTTCTGATCGCACTACACTGTTGCGAGCATTGCTAAAGTCATCAACATCATCTTTCAACTGGTCTCTGGATTGTGAGCGGGCATTCATGGATCTCAAAGAGTTATTGACGACTCCAATTTTGGCATATCAGGACTACACTCGACCTTTTATTTTGCGAATGGATGCTTCTGACATTAGTTTTGGAAGTGTGTTGATGCGAAAGAGCTCGAGTGTGCTTGGTCAGCACCATCCCATTGCGTATATAAGTTGTACATTACAACCAGTGGAGATGAACTACTCCACTATAGAGAAGGAGTGTTTAGTAGAAGTCTGGGGTTTCAAGAAACTTCATGCATATCTACATAGTTCTCTAACATTACTTGAAGATGACCATGCTGCTATTACTTCATTATTGAAGCGGAAGAACCTAGTTGGTCGTACTACTTGATGTGCTTTGAAGCTTTAGATATATGATTTTGATGTTGTTCATCACCAAGGGAGTTCTATGGCTGATGTTGATGCCCTTTTTTGAGCTTTTCTTCTTTCTCCACTCTCTTCTCACATTTCTAACAAGCCTGTTGTTCCAACATCTGTGGATTTTCTAGATGAGGATTATGTGCTGTCAATGGTTGTTGTATTTGATGTTTAGTGTCCACAAGGCGCAGAGCAAGATCTACCTTCTCTTGATAAGGTTCTCAAGGCTCAAAAGATTGAGCCGTGGATTCGAAGGCTTTGAGATGAGTTTGAGAATCTTGCATCACTTGCTGATGACTTGCTTTTCCAGCATTTACATTCTCAATATCACCTTAAAAATGGCCTTCTTTATTTTGTAGGAACTAATCTTGATGATCATTTACAACTGGTGGTGCCTTCTGTCTTTATTCCACGGTTTCTCCATGCCTACCATGATTCTCCTATTTTAGATGGGCATATGGGACATCGTTGTGTAACTGAGAAGCTGCGCAGGTCTTTCTATTGGTCAAAGATGCGATGTGATATTATCCAGTATGTGTGTAGTTGCGTTTGGTGCCAAGCTCATAATACTCCCCCTCATGCTGCAGAAGGACTGTTAGAGTTAATTTCAGTTTCCCGTCCGTTTGAGTTGGTGGCGTTTGATCTTATAGGACCTTTTCCACTGTTGGCATTGAGTATGTTATTATTGCTTCTGACTACTTGACTCGTTGGGTGGAAGTTAGTGCTCTTGCTAGCGCCTCTGCAACTATTGTTGAATACTTCCTCCTCAATCGAGTGGTGTTCCAACATTCTTGTGTAGAGTGGATTCTTTCGGATAATGGTCCCGCATTTATGGCTGACACATTTTATGTTTTGACGTTCAGTTGCGGATGCACCACACTTTTATGAGTGCTTATCATCCACAATCAGACGGTCTAGTGGAACAGCTCGTTCGGACGTTCAAAGGGATGATCGTGAAGTATGTGAACTTTCAGCATTCGGATTGGGATGGTTATTTGCCGTCTCTTTGGTATGCATATGTCACAGGGGTGCAGAGTTCTGTTGATGCTTCACCATATAAACTCCTATATGATCATGATCCAGTATTACCAACGGAGCTGGGTCTACTTTCGCAATTGCCACGAGCTACCGATGCTAGGTCTTGGGACCAATATTTGACGAGCATCCTTCCACTTGTTCGAGCAGAGTCTACCAAACACTTAGGCCGTGTACAAGTCAGACAATAACGGTGCTACAACTCCCATCATCGTCCACCTGTGAAGTACAAAGTGGATGACTTGGTGTTGGTCCTTTTTCCCCACCTTACGGTATGTGGTTTATCTAAGAAGCTCCTTGCTCAGTGGAAAGGACCATATCAGATGTTGTGGCAAGTGGGACCACAAGTTTATGAGGTTCAACATAATGTTCAGCAGGCCGATCCTTCAGAGATTGTGCATGTGTAGCGGTTGAAACGCTTCATACAAAGGGATCAGAAACAGATAATACCACCTACAGATCCGCCAATGCCTTCTCCTGATGTTCCTCCAGATCTTAGCCCATCTATAAGAGAACCCTAATGGTATTCCGTTATTCTGAGAGGAGGGAATGATGTGAAGGCCAAGTTTACAACTACGAAATATTAGTATAGTGAGATTTTGGTAGCTGTCAGATTGGTTTTAATCCGGACCTCTTGTATATAAACTAGGGTTTTTGGGCTAATTGATATGCACATTTTCTGTATTCCTTTCTATATTCCAAGCACTCACAACACTATTTTTTCAATATTTGTTTTTTTTCTTATTTTCTACTATTAAGTAATTTAAACTCAATCACACAATATTTGGAGCTGGAAGAATTGAATCCAACTTAATTTCAGCAAACTGATGAGGATGGACAATTTTTATTTTCATTTCTTTTGCACTTCTTACATTTCTTAATTTGTTTCTACTCTTCTTATACACACTTCTTCGGTGTATTTGGCCCATTAGTACACTATGTACTAAGCTTATGATACACTTGTTGCTAATTCTCAACAATTTGTGCATCTGCTGGTTGAAACACACACACACACACACACTGTGTAGGGCTAGCTCCATCCACAAGAGAGCCTTGAGGTTGGGCACTAGAGGCTGGAAGAAGTCGTCACAGGAGAGAGCAAGCAGGTCACCACTCACAACAAGCTCAAAAAATCTGGAAGGAAGACGTTGCCAAGGAACTAGTGAGTACGTCGCAAGAAACAAATGCCATTGTCACCAGCTTCCACACGTCTTCAACGTCCTCTAGGAGCACAAACCCAAAGTTGGTCATGCTGCAAGCCGCCATCACCTTGCTCCTGGAACATGAGGCGGTACTTGCTATCAGCAAAGAGTTTGGGTACCGGCAAGTCTTCATACTAAGGCTTATTATCTGATCTGTTTTGGGGCACCTGTTGGCAGGTTTAGTCAGCATTCCCGGATTCTGCTACCAAAAAGAAATTTAAATTTAAGACAACGTGTCATCCTCCTTTTGCATAGTTTTAACTTTTAAATGTTAATTTTTTCTCCGTGAAGTTCAGGTTGGTGGCGGTACTTTGACGAGGCATGCTCACTCAGTGGCCCATGTTTCTGCTTGACTCACGGAGGGTTTAAAACCAGGGATAACTGCAAGAAAGAGCACTGACATGTTTTCAAAAGTAGTTGTCACAGGAACATCTGCCATCCTGGAACACATGAACCCGACTGGCATCTTTGCAGATGATTAGCCTTTTTTCCAGCTTAGAGATGAGAGCAGTGGCCACATTGGCAATCTTCACAAACTCGGAGATTTCTCACAATTCTGATGGTCTCCTTCTGGTGCGACTTCACCAGAGCACACCCCAGCACAAGCTTCTCACTGTGGCCGCACAGGTGATACAGGAAAAGTGCATTCTTTTTCTGTCGGGGATAGGAGTCACTCACAGAGCAACGAGATTGCGGCCAAGCTCAAGCAATTGTTGCTGAGAATGAAAGAGAAGGGGTACATGAGCGATGTGATCAACGTTCTAAAAGACATACCCGAGGAAGGGAAAGAGAGCTAACATCCGTCCACCAGCTTCTCCCGGGCTCCTGAAGCTGCCTTCACCTCTCATTCTCTCCACAACAGCGGCCCTTTCACTGAGCATCCCCAGGTTTCCAAATATATTGGCCATCAATGCGTAGGGCGTGCCGCTCTTGGGATCCATCTCCACAAGACACTCAAACGCGAGTTTGCCAATCGTGTAATTCTTCCACTTCCAGCAGGCTCCGAGCAGGGACGTCCAAACCACTGCATCCGGTTCAAAAGGCATGGCTCTGAGAACTCTCACAGCTTCATCGAGGAGGTTAGCTCGCCCGAGCATATCGATCAGGCACACATAATGCTCCAGACGTGGCTTGACTCCATACTGCTTGGGCATTTCATCCAGAAGCTGCCTTCCTAGACCACCATGGCTGCAAGTGTTCAACACCGAGACAAAACTCACATCGTCAGCTTTACAGGCCTCCTCCTGAGTCATGGAATAGAAACGCTCCAAGGTCTCGATCGATCGGCCCTGGAAAGTGTAAGCCTGTATGAGAGAGTTCCAGAGACCCGTGTTGTCCCGAGCTTGGCACTCGTCAAACGCTTCCTGAGCAGAATCAACATCGCTGCATTTGCCGTAGAAGCTCACCAGGCTGGAGCCCAGAACTGGATTGTTTTTCAGCAGTTCTTTATGCTTCACCAGCTGGTGAATCTCCCTCCCGAGCTTGATCGCCATCACACTCCCGCAAGCAACAAGGACACAGGTGGAGGTGCAAGCATGAGCTTGAATGGTGTTATCAGCTCTCAGGGCAGAGTAGTACTCCAGAGCAAGTTCAGCTCGCCCGTTCGTGTTGCAGCCCTGGATGATCGCAGTGTAGGAGACAACACTCCGAGTTCCCATGGAGTGGAAAATCTTGCGAGCCTCCTCAAGCTCGCCACACTTGCAGTACATGTCTACCAGGCAAGTCCCCATGTACAGACCTAGATGTTTCTTCTCCTTGCTCAGTACTGAATGGACTTCCATCCCGATGCGTAGAGCTCTCTCCCTCTTCTCGCTGGATTCGGTAGCAAGTGTGGAGCAGGCGCTGATCACCGCGACATGTGTCCGATCGTCAGGTTCAATAGTGTTATCAGCTCTCAGGGCAGAGTAGTACTCCAGAGCAAGTTCAGCTTGCCCGTTCGAGCCACAGCCCTGGCTGATCGCATTGTAGGACACAACACTCCGAGTTCCCATGGAGTGGAAAATCCTGCGAGCCTCCTCAAGCTCGCCACACTTGCAGTACATGTCGACCAGGCAAGTCGCCACGAACAGATCTACCTGTTTCTTCTCCTTGCTCAGCATTGAATGGATCTCCATCCGATGCATAGAGCTCTCTCCCTCTTCTCGCTGGATTCGGTAGCAAGTCTGGAGCAGGCGCTGATCACCGCGACATGTGTCCAATCGTTGGGTTGAATGGTGGTACAAGCTCTCAGGGCAGAGTAGTACTCCAGAGCGAGTTCAGCTTGCCCGTTCGAGCCGCAGCCCTGGATGATCGCGTTGTAGGACACAACACTCCGGGTTCCCATGGAGTCGAAAATCTTGCGAGCCTCCTCAAGCTCGCCACACTTGCAGTACATATCGATCAATCCCGTCAACAAGTAGATGTTGCTTTTGTGCTCATCACTCTTGAGCACAGCTTCATGGGCTTGTTTTCCCAAAGAAAGGGATCTGCTCTCAGGTGAGTCTCTCACGCGGCCTCCCTAAACTCACCGGTTCATCACCAGCTACAGGTGGGGTATGTGGAGATTTGTAGCGGGCCGTGGTGGCCTTACCTACAGCTGGGTCAGCGAGCGACTCGAGTTTTGCAGAGACCCAGGTTGGTGTTTTCCTGTTGGCGATCCCTCTCTCCGGTAGAAACATGTTTGAAATCCGGGTAGGACTCTGAGAAGAACTTGTTTTTCTTCTTGAACCACCAGAAAGTGGGATCCCTGAAAAACGTTTTCCACTGCATGAGATTGTTGCACACACACCACACAAACCCTAGCGCCGCACGCATACCCTAGAAATCCCTATTTGTTATTGCATGCACTTAACTGTAGTAGTAAAAAGCTCGTGTTTTCTGTTTTTTCTTTTTCTAATTCTTTTCCTTTTTAAACTTTACAATGTCACAGCTTAACTGCAGCAGCTTAGATGTTTATTGTTTCTTTGATATATATAGAAAGTGAGCCAGCAGCAATCAGTTGCTCAAGAGCTGAAGAATCAGTACATGCATAATTTTCAGACAATCTTCTAACTGGCTGAACATCAGGTTTTTATGATTATTATTATTATTACTAACAACACGCACGAACTTCCTAGAAATTCCGATTTGTTATTCTCTGCATTCATTTTTTATATAATCTGTTGCTGCATGCACTTAACTGTAGGTAGTCTTCAGTTCTTCAATATAATCTGCTAACTAAAAGATATCGATACACTCAATATACAAAAATAAACCACACTCTACACAAATTAAATAAAAAATGCTCTTCATGGGGCGACGCAGCCAGAAGCCTCAGGGCACCAGTTTCATGCAGAACACTTTCGCAAATGACTCTCGCCCGGGGCCCATGCACAGGAGTCCTCGGGCGGTGGTAAAACTTCACAAGGCCTCACGTACTTATATTCACCCTGGGCTTCTGGCTGCTCCACAACATACCTTACCACACCAAACTCTTCGCACATGAAGCCACGCATGGAGGAAAAAACCGCGTGAGGCCTCACGTGCTTCCATTCAGTCCTTATATGTGTTCTTGGCCTCGCTCAGTTCATCTCCTTTGTTGTCCACCTGCGCTTCTTTACTTCATGTTTTTTCTTGCATGCTTCGATTGACATCTTCAGATTTTCAAGCGAACGATTGTGGCATACCGTGGCTACGTTTTTCGGCAGAGCTTGGAGGTGCTGAAAGCGGCATTAAGTTCGTGGAGGATTGATCTTGATTTGGATTGTATGGATCTCTATAAATTTTGAAACTTGAGTTTATTTTTCTTCTTTTTCTTCTGTGTTGCCAAAATAACTGGTGTCAAACTTGCTTTTGCAGACTATCTCTAGTACTTCTGGATGCAATCAAGGCCTGCTGCTCATTGCTTCAAAGGAGGAGATGATAATTGATCCCCAAAGAGCGAGCTCGATGGTTTTGTTGTTTCCATCAAGTTATCATTCCGCTGCGATCTGAAACACCACATCGTCCACTGTACTTTCACAGGTTTCGAGACAGGTACCCAGGAAAGGTGTATTCCATTGTTGTTCCTCAGGACCTGGACTTGTTTTGCCGCCTCAAGTGTGAGCTGATCAAGATGAGGGAGATGCTTGCGATGGTGGAGGCGTGGGATCGAGCAAAGTTGCAGATGCAGTATGAGGATGATTTCTTCTACAACTATGATGAGTGGGACAGCTTTGTGGAACTTTCCACATTGAGATCGTCGGTTGTAGCATAAGTTATCTCCTGGAGAAATGGTCCTGGCTCAAGGAGCAGTTTGCACGCATCCGCACGTCAAGATTGTTGGAGAGCTCAACTGGAAGATGGAAAAAGGCCAAGGTGACTCATGGGGTTTCAAAACCTGCACTCGGCTTGGTAAGGTTTGGTGAGTTAAATAAGTACGATGAGTTTGAAGAGACAATCGCAAAAAAAAGGGGGGGGGGGGGAGACATCTAGACGTGAAGCGTGCTAGCTCTCCTGAATGGCTTCAAAGAGGTGAGGTGTCTTAAAGAGGAGATGATAGAGCTGAGCATGGAGCTGAACTTGGCTTGTGCTCCTTGTAAGAGCTAACTAGCTAGCAAAAACAGAGGAGACGGTGAAGAGGATGCCTCTTGAACTCCAAGAGAACAACAGACCTTTTTTCTTAAGGGGGGGAGAAGCTGCTAGCAGCTCAGAAGTAGGAGCGGTGGAGCAAGAGGTTAGGGCTGATGTCATCCCTGTGCACCAAGACTGCTGGGTGGTTCGGGGCTTGGTTAAAGTAGGCAACCGGGTGGAGGCAGGGGGTTGGGAGCAATCCGAGGCTTGAGGTATGACTTGTCTTTTCTACCTGGTGGAACTCCATCCGAGCATTCCTACTTCCCTCTTTTAAGCTGCTACATCACGTTTTTACTCTTAGCTCGTCACATTTATACTCTAATTTCACAATAACTCGCATTTTCACTCTAATTAATTCTTTTTTTTCCCTTCCTCTAACTTACAATAAATACACATTAAAAATTGTTAATTTATTATTATTAAAAAGTTAGTGTATTCCAATTTTGGAATATATGGTAGAATCCTTACATCAATCCGTTCACACACAATATCGAGCTAACCGCTTCACATGGATCTTCTCTTGACGTTGTGCATTGAGTGTCACCACATAGATTTGTGGACCAACTTGTTGGACGATGTGATAAGGACCTACGCAGCAAAACCTTGGATCCGCAACACCCGATAACTCACCAACACTTGATCACCAACAACATATGTAGAAACTTTAGAAACTCCAGCGGGTGCAAAGTCCGGGCAAAAGTAGAGTGGAATTCAGTTATTCGGAATGTGCCACACCCAGGAATTCAATCCAAAGCTCTTCTCTTCAAAGTTCTTGTGTCAGGTTTATATCCACGAAACCAGAGCTGGCACCTCCTCTTCAGAGCTCAGCTGTAGAAGATCTTGCTTAGACAGGGTGGTAACTAGAAACAAGGAATCGATTGGCACTGCTCCTCTCAACACAAAGAAGGTCCAGGATGGAATAGCAAAAGAGATGTTGAAGATATGGAAGTCACATTCCTACCCAGGTTAAGTCAGAAAGAACCAGACCATCTGACAGAGGCATTAGCTGATCGCTTGTTCTTCAACGTAGCGCATAAGAACAGTAATCAACAGTATATAGGTGACTGTTCAGCTCCAGGCTTGGGTAGAGGTCTTTGGCGTGGAATAGGAATGTGGGAGCTTCGATCAAAGACTTATTGGATCTACAAAGAGCTAGCAAGCCATCACGTACAGCAAAGTTCTTGTTGGGATCTTGGTTTTCTTCCTCAGGGTATGATACAATGAAAAAGGTAAAGTCAGGTATTTGTTTAACGTTCGCTTGGAGCAAATCCTGCTCATCGGATGGCCTCATGACAACCCATTACAACCCAGGATGAAAACTCCACATCAAAGCTTAAGGCAGCATCACTTGTGATCGCCTTCATCTTGCTTTACAAACTGAAGTTATGAGGTTCATGATTGGATAATGCTTGATGGTGCTGAGACTCAAATCATCTTTGTTATGGAAACAACCCCATCACCTCAAGGTGTTGTTTTTTATCCCCATAACAGTGGTGCACTGTTTCCATGTATAGTTCCCAAGGAGGTCCCAGTTCCCAGGATGGCCTTTGGTAAAAGGATCAGGACGATACATCAGAGAGGGAAATACACTGAACTGGATCCTAAGGTTCAACTGGGAGAATGCTCTGCAATACACTAGTTTGAGGAGTACCTATATCTGATCTTATATAGGATCCGGCTCAGTTATCCTGGGAAGGTAATGAGTTCAGTGTGTCTTTTTATATGTACAGGTCTAAGCATGGGAGAGAGCTTTTGATGGATAAAATTGACACCAAGCTTATGCAGAAGTTGAAGAATCGGAAGTACATTGTAAACATGTGGAAGACACTGGTGGAAGCTAAGTAAGCTGGCTTCTTGTGCAGGACAGCATCCCTGTTGGTGATTGGCTCACAGTTCACAAAACTCTGTGTATTCTATGCAATGA